GGCATCGGTGCCATTGCTCCAGAAAACGATGATACATCAGTGCCACGTCAGAAAAATAGTGCTCCATGAAATTAGCGTTTATTTATTTGGAACCATTTTTCCATAAAAAACGGTATTCCAAGTCACACCTTAGAAATCAGAAAAGCATGGCTTAGAGCAATGCCGAATTTGGTGTTTCCTGGAGCTACAACTCATTGCTGTCAATAGGGAGGTGAGGTGGCAGTGATAGGGACATGATGTGGCACTGACTAATAGGTACCGGTGCTGAAAACGTTTACTAGAGCATTGGTGCCAAACAGAAAACATTGTTATTGCTCCAGAAAACGTTCTACCTGGCAACAACGTTTCCAAAACAAAAAAAAAAAGACATTGTTTTCTCAGAAAACGGTATTTCGAAGAAAATGGTGTTATATCTATAGCATCGATGCCAAACATATACATTATTTGTGGTAAAGATTCAAGAGCATTTGGGTGGGTGTGGGGAGGGGGTTGTTTCAATTTTGTTTCTCCAAAGGCTCAGTTTGAAAGGAATACAAATGCAAATATGTACGGTACAAATTTGAAAAGGAATACAAACATAAATATGTAGAGTGCAAACCTTGCATTTTATATTATTTTGTATTTATTTATACTCTACATATTTATATTTATACTCCTTCCAAACTAAGCCTAAGGTTCAAATTATCAATACACCCTGACACATGTCAATACTTTAAACCATTCTTTTGTCTTTTAGGATCATTTTTAATGATGTTTAAAGCTTAAAACATTGAATATATAAAAGGGTAAAATATAAAAATCTCCCTTGAAGTTTTTGACAATAATAAAAACTTCCCCTATAGTTTCATTTTAATAAATACCTCCCTGAATTTTTGAAAAACTCGACTAAAACCTCCTTTTCATCACCTTTGTAGATAGAAAACGTTACGCTGATGCATCAGTTTTTTTTCTAAATACCCATTCTATCCTTTTACAAACTATTTTACATGCAAAATTACTGAAATAACTCTATTTTAACTTAACAAAAACCTCCACTAAATATCATCTTCTAACATTTTTGTTGAGTTAAAATAGGTTATTTCAATAATTTTATATGTAAAGTAATTTGTTAAAGGGTAGAACAGGTACTTGGAAAAAACTGGTGTATCTGTTTAACATTTTCCATCTGAAAAGGTAAGAGAATGGAGGTTTTTGTGGAATTTTTTAAAAGTTTAGAAGAGGTATTTGTTAAAATGAAGTTATAAGGAAAATTTTTATGATTGTATGAAATTTTAGGGGAAATATAAAAATTTCACCCAATATAAAAAACTTTTAAAAAAGAAATTGCAAAGATATCGATATAACACGATACATCCAATACTTCTAACCTCCGACAAAAATCTTCCACTTAACAAGGGACGCATCCCATCGATGCTTCGAACCATGATTCACCCGACAAAAATCTTGCACTTAAGAAGGGAATCGGTGCCGGTGGTCAATAAATTGGCTCTTATTTTAATTGTGCGATCTGCGATGTCTTCACACTTGTTAGTACTTTGGAAAAAAAATAGTCAGTTCATGGCTGCCATCATGAGTCGTGGAAAAAATGTTGTCCATCAGTTTCATGTTTAACAATTAACACTTTTACAGAATTAACTAAAATTAGTGTGTTAGGCTCAAAAGGAGTATTAAAATACAAAAACCTCCCTGAAGGATCTTGACAATCATAAAAACTTTTCCTATATTTTTATTTTATTAAAAACCTCCTCTGATTTTTAAAGAATTTGGCAAAAATCTTCCTTCAGTCAGAGTAAGTCCATCCTCACACCGTTCCAACAGCCTCTTGTAACCTTGCATTGAGAATATCTACCCATGAAGTAAAGCACATAAGTAAGGAGATATTCCCAATGCAAGGCTGTAAAGATTGTTCGAATAAGCTTTGCTCTAACTGAAGTCGGACTTGGATGTGCTTGTGATGTCGGTGTGAGGTGCATTGTGTGAGGAGCAGATCCAGTCTCGCCATTATTGCACCCCGAATCCTCTTCAGGCCAGTCTGAAAAGGATTCTCTACTAGCTGCCTAAATGTGAGATGAGTAAAGACAAAATCCCAGAATATTGAAAATCACATTAGCGCCCTATATGCACATCTCAGCGTGCATTAAGAATATCTCCCATGAAAAAATAGTCCCAATACATGGGTGGGAGGTGCTGTGGGGCACCAATCTGATATCTATAATATCACCTGAACTTAAATGAATTGGCATGATATGGTTGGGTCAGTAGACATGTATAATACTCCTCTATTGTATGAAGTCGCGCTGCCATATCAGCAATTAAATGACAACATATATTATTTTCTTTTGAAAATGAACTGAAGTCGTCAAAATAATCAAGAATTTTGCTGCAATATTCAATGAATTTTATTGAACCTCTTCTTCATCAAAGCATTAGAGTCCAAATTCGACTGTGGATGGATATTAATCCGTTTCATTTTGTCTGGTACACTCGCAATCAATTAATATTTCAGCAAAAGAAAATTCAATAAATGTGATATGAATCTTCAACAGCAAAGAAAGCAATAAATCACCTTGCCTTATTCAATTTCAGGCTGTTATAAGGTGATTTGTGATGGGGAATAATCAATAATACCATGGATGCTGGTGTTGTATGTTTCTCTAAGAAGATAATTTAATTTTTTCAATGCACAGGGTTTAAGTTTGGGAGTCATGGAAGTGTAATTGAGGCAGAGTTCCAAGATAACCCATCCCCTAACCATAAACCCCCAATTCAGGTGCAGACGGGATTAGATTTCAAATCTGCTACAACCAGCAAGAGACCTTATCAATGAATCAATTAGATGTTTCTTAGGGGCATTATAGACAATATTGATATAAATACACTTTTTGCTATATAACTAGTTTCTTCCATCCATGGAAAAAATTAAATTCAATAAAATCAAATTTTCAGCATTGGCAAATGCTCTTTTGAACTAATGATGTGACTATTTGTAGCTTTGAAAAAATGGTTTAGCCATGCTGGCTAAAACTTGTGTAAGTGAGACATATAATAAATGTTCTCAACTGCACATCATCCCTTACGTCCATTGTATTGGTGCTAAACTTACTAAAGCTGAAGCTTTGAATTCTTCATGTTTTCGTGTGGGTTTCTTGTGGATGCTAAAGTCACCATCACCCCCATATTATCATATAATCAAGTTTAGAAAATTCCAATTAGAGACGTCATTTAACTCATTGTACCATTGTACGCCAACTCTGGCAGGAAGAAAGAACTCTTCTCCGGATGGAAATTAAGTCCCAGCACCTAAAAAGCATTACCCCCTTTGTAAAAGTAAAACTATATCTTTTTCCCCTTAGTAATTGTAATACAAACACAAATATGTATTTTGTATAAATATCTTTTTTTGTGAGGGTTTTATAGTATAATCCTTTTTTGTATTCTTCTTGTTTGTTTGAAATTGTGAGAGCAAATACTAATCTAAATGCTTCACTATCTTGAACTTTTGGTCAAATATGCCAATCTATGAGTCCATTTATAGCACAAATTTGTATCCAAAAAATTGGTACAATAATGTGCTCTTCTCATAATACAAAGATGTCAGAAAAAACATTTTTGGCCTCTTAAATCATTGCACTTTTGTATAACAAATAAATACTCACAAATCCCAATCGGGGTACATAAATACCTTAATTCAGCATTTGTATTACAAACAAATGCATCCCTATTGAATTGTTGGGTCTAGTATTTTAAAACTGTTGTTGATTCAGACAATTGGACTGTTTGGTCTAAAAATCATTTAGGCAATTGGTTCTGTTTCATGGCTTCACCCTTAACCCACTCCTTGGACAAAAAAAATTAATTTGGTTAGAGACCCGCTGACCTGAGCAGTCAAACTATTGACCCATTCGACATGAACAACAATTTTGGCTTATTTTTATTACTTTATTTTCTTAAAATGGAATGGACCATCTATTCAAACCATCGACTTGAAAACCCAAGTGGCCAAAGCGGTTCCTGTTCCATATTGGTTTTTGGTTGGACCTGCGAGAAGGATAGGAACACAGTTTGGTGATTGACCAAGATACCAAGCAGGGTAGAAGAGTAGGTTTAAGCTAATTAAGTTGAATCCAAGCAAAACGATTCCCCTCTACTGCTCTACATGGCAAACAAATTAAATAGGTAGGCAGGCTTTATCCATCACCATAGGCAGCAACCTCTTGCCCTTGGATCGGCCAATCCATCACCATAGGTAGTTATTTGACATTCTGTCTACTCCTAAATCCTATAATTTGAGAAATGACAATTGACAAGAGCTCGGTGGTGTAATGAGAGGCTGAAACTCTTGGCCACTCGCCTATCAATGACGACCCAATTACCCAAACGCCTGGAAGATGGAACCCTCTTCAGTCTTGGGTATTGGCTTCGGCTCCCAGCCTCCCAGCCTCCCACTAAACAAAACTCTTCAAGAGTAAGATTCCTGTTTGCTTATGCGTTTCAGGTTCACAACTTCTTCTCAATTCATATTCAGATGATGAAATGATGTTTACCGATAAATAAATAATATGTGCCCTTTTTCAATGGTTCCGTGTGGTTGCTGGTTGATAGTTTTATGTCTTAATTTGTCTGATAGGGGGGCATTTCATGAATAAAGAAACGTCAATTGACTAACCTCCTCTACTGGCCAATGCTCCTCCTACCTTTATTATCCACTACTGATCAATTTAATCATACATATACTAAGCTCTCAATCATCCTAATCTGCTTTTACTGAAATAACCCTGTACTTGGTCTATAATCACGAATTTAACATCACGTGCAGCTCTCCTAGGCCTAGCGTAGCCTTCTCAGATACGTCGGCAGGGTAACCTGGTGGTCCTTACTCCTTAGGAGGCCCTAGCTAGAGAGAGAGGAAGTATGCAGCTTGTGCCATTTCGGTAATTGTGGTGAAAGGGCTATTCCCGTAAATTTAATTTAAATTCGATATAATACTACTTGTCTTCTTCTCTTGTTTAATTCTTTTCTTCGCAGACAAAGAACCTATACCCATCTGCTGTGCTCTTATTACGTTTCTTATTCCATCTTCCTTCTTTCCTTTTATATTCAATTTTTGCAACTCCATTCCGTCAAACTAGAATTTCTTGTCAGATTATTGTTGAAGATTCCTCACAGAATTCTTCAACCTTTTTAGCTCTCTTCCTTCCTGATTCATTCTCCTACCCTGTGCCAGCTATCTATCGACGTTACTGTAATTTGCATCTTCGTGGTAAGTTAATAAGCTATTTTTCTTCTCTCCATTGTGATTTTACTCGTCTAGATCTTCATTGCATCCTCAAATTTTAGGTCTTTTCCCTTCGAACTTCTGTTTCTTGCTTTACCGGTGGTCGAGGATTGAAATTTTTGATTAATCCGAAGGAGAATTTCAAAGGGAACGGACATTCGAAATACATCATATATACTAGCTCTTTAGATTCTCTCTTTCTCGAATCTATTTCTGGTTAGTTTCTTTCTCTCCTATAAGGAGATACAAATTTCCCAAATTTGTGAAGGAGGACAATCCGGATAGAGATCGAAGGCTCAGGAACGTGTTTTGGTCCTTTCAGAAATAAAGGAAAGAAGAAGATGTCGTCTCCAAGCAAACGAAGAGATATGGATGTCATGAAACTGTAAATTTCTACAAAATCTTTCCTCTATTTTTGCTTTATATTACTTTTATTAGCTTCTGGGTTCTCCACTTTTGTGGCTTCTCGAGTTTTTTATGTTCCTCTGGTAATCTGGTGTGATTAACCTGGGAAATGGTGAATGATGAATGACAACAGGATGATGACAGATTATAAAGTGGAGACGATTAACGACTCCGTCAGCGAGTTCTTTGTTGAGTTCAACGGCCCGCCAAACAGTAAGTTTTATCTCATATCCATAGGCCCACATCATTATCATCATCATATTATTAATAGAAATGACACAGTGTCGTATGTATGATGATTCCATATTCCATTCAATGGCATATAGATATATGGAAGCCTTTTGTCCTCTTTTAACGTTTCTATTCCATCTGAAGAGCCTGAATTCGGAATTCCACTTTGCGATTGGATTGGAATCTCTCCTTTTTGTGTTAGGGTATTGTACCTAAAATTTGACAAGTTTCAACAAATGGGCAAACGACGTGTTTGGATGTATTAAACCAAATATTCTTGGAGTGGTATCCAGATGTCGAATTTCGTGGCTGCGGATTGGAAATCACTGCCTGAATCCTGATCTTCTCTCCTTATGACTTATCCAAAAAATCCATATCCACACGTATGGAATATGGATACGGCTTTTCTGATTTCACCTCAGCCATGACACCCACCAGATTACCGTTGGACATGTGGAATCCACGTCTATCCCTGACTTGGGAGAGCCTCCCAGCGGTGGGCCTGTGGATTCTGCTTTTGCAACGTGGGCCTCACCTGAACAGTCTATAAACATATTTGGTGGAAAATCCAGAAAGCCTAAACCATAGGCCCATAGCGTAATGATTGGTCCTATAGCCCATCACGCATCTATCGAATTTAGCTAACTCTTTTATATTAAAAAAAAAAAAAATTAAAAAGTCTCCACTGAGCATTGAAGCTCATTTTAGTAGCTTCTTCAGAGCAGTTAATGGAAAACAATTCGACAAGGCATCAGCCCTCGCAATTCCCAAATAAAGCTATTTATGAAGAGAATCCCAAATAAGCCCTTATTCACAAATAAAATCACGTGAATCACCATCATATTAGAGTAGGATCACGGGGACAGAAGATTCCAATCCAATTGCTGCGTGACGACTATTGGAGTAGACACATTAAGGCCTTGGAGTGGCATATAGTCCATTCCAGAATGGTAGAGCTAGAGTGATCAATAACGTAGTAACGAAATGGATAAAACGAATGAACAATTGAATCGCCCAGTGTTTAGAATTGATAGAATAGATCAAGAACCTAGACCTTAGGGGGGTGTTTGGTATGGTGATCTTCATCTGAAGCACAACCGTGAATGCATTCATGCTTTATTGATTTTTTTGGCTATGTTTGCCTTTGATATAAAATAAGAAACAAAACAAAAAGTTGAGAGAATTTTATGAACAACTTGCACAAAATGATCTTAATATTGTATTACCATAAATAAAATGATTGAAAATAACTTTTATAAGACTTGAACCTATCACATTTTAGTAAACATGAAACATGCAAGCTTTGTTATATATTAATTTTGTCGTATAGAGATTGAATGTAAATGTTTTTAATTTAAATATCATTGAATCGCATTGTGATTGCAGTACATCCATAACCAATGCAATTAAAAACAGACCAATTTCATATCACATTATACGGATTGATTTAAATCCAATTTTGGCCAAACGGACATCATTTGCAACCCTACATTTTAGAGCATATGTTGCATTAGCGATTTTGCAGAAACAAGGGGAAAAGGAATTTTCTATTGGTGCAAAAACACTAATACGCCAACATATTTCTCCAAATATGGGTCTTGGACTAGGACATACTACCGCATGAAAATTTTCCAGTCATCTAAAAGGGTTTTTGGCAGCAGTATATTTCTCCAAATATAGGTTTTGGTGCATGTCATGAGAGTTATATTTGATTATATGAGGTCATTTTATATCTTTATATTTGTACACATGGCATTTACACTAGTTTACTGATGCTAATACAAAAATAGTGCAGATTCCGGAAAACATAGCCACTTTTATGACATCAGTTTATTAGTTACAAGTTTTTAATCAAGGTTAAAGTATCGATACGTATCAGATCGTATCGGGCTATGTATCAGATTGTATCGGAAAACATGATACTGGGAAGGGTTTGACCAATCAAACCACCCCTAACTCGCTGGTTACCACTTCAATGACATCAGTTAATTAGTTACAAGTTTTTACCCAAGGTTCAAAGTATCGATACGTATTAGTCGATACATATCATATCAGGAGCTTCTTAATACATCCCTACAGAGTGTGTATCAGGGTTTTGACCAGTTCGGGGGGTGGACAAACCTTAAAATAGTCCCTCTGAACTGGATTTGAAAAGATACTAAAAAAACCTACCAATATGCCTCTACCGGCGTATTGATATTTTGAACCTTGTTTTTACCATATCATGTCTTTAAGGTAGAACTCCATTCTTTTATTAAAGAATTATAACACTTTTTTTTTCATGGGGCTACGCAACGGGGATAGCATCCCTTAACACCCCCTCCCCCTCCCCAACCCTGGTGCGCTGGTGGCAGCGGGATTTGGTCCCAGGTCTCTGCTAAATAAATCAGAGATCCTAGCTTCTATCGCTGTCCATCCTTTGCATATGTAGCAAGCAATAATTTTCTGGTTCTTTAATTGATCGACAAACTGATTTTTTAGGTTTTCAAGTGACAAACCGAATATGATGTTTAATTTAATAACAGGCTTGTACAGTGGCGGAGTTTGGAAGGTGAGGGTAGAACTGCCAGACGCTTACCCTTACAAATCTCCATCCATTGGCTTTGTGAACCGCATCTACCACCCCAACATCGACGAGATGTAAACACCCTCCCCTTTTGGACTTGCTTTTTTCATCAAAAACAAAACCAAACATCTCTCATAAAACCATGAGTGACCCCCTATTTTTTGTTGCAACAGGTCAGGTTCCGTCTGCCTCGATGTTATCAACCAAACATGGAGCCCCATGTTCGGTAACTATTTTCCTTACTTTTCGGTCCATGCTCAGTGTCACATTTTCACCCACTGGGCCACTGGCACTCCAGACGTGCCATCGATTACTATTCTGAATGCATAGTATCTTCATGCAGATCTCATCAATATATTCGAGGTCTTTCTTCCCCAACTCTTACTCTATCCAAATCCCACGGACCCCCTTAACGGCGAAGCTGCAGCTCTGATGATGAGGGACCGCAAGGTTTACGAGCAAAAAGTCAAAGGTACGTTGTGTTCAAACTCATTAAATCAACGCATCATAGGCCTGGACGTTTAAGGCAAAACCACATAGCCCCTCTTGAGAAAAAACAGAACTAATTGAGAGTTTTACACTTTTGAGCTCCTTTACACCATTTTGATATCTGAACACAAACTGGTGGCTCTGTTTCATGTACGTAAATTACAAAAAAGCCAATCCCACAAGAAGTGTTTAGATATCCACCTGGGCATTTTAGGCAGCACCATATAGCCCACCATCAGAATTCAGAAGGAAGCAGCAGTTGTTTCAGCTGTGCTGGGCAATATGAATATAAAAGAACAGACCGGGCAATCCCCCCGAGGGAGAAATAATGTCAACAGATTCCGAAAGACCACATTGTTAGATGTTGCCAAATCAGTCGGTTTATAGTTACCCAGTTCGACCCATGAAGCAGAGAACATTATTTTCATAAGGGATAGACCTTAGGGTATGCTGACAGTTTACTTGTATGTCCTTTGCTTTGTTCCCGGCAACAGAACACTGTGCCAGGTATGCCAAACCAGAAGACATCCGAGGACAGCAGGAAGAAGAAGAAGACGATGCAGAAGAAGCAAGTGATGATGAGGATTATAAGAGCAGTGAAGATGAAATGGAAGTTGAAGGCATTTAATTGGTTCAACTACCCTCTTTGTAAATAAAATTTGTAAACAATTGTGTGATTCCTCTTCAGCCAAAACATGTTAATAAGAAATGGAAGTATTTCCACATTCTCAACCTAAGTTTCTCCAAACGGACATGTTCTATGGCTATTTGTTGTATAGATACACAACGCTGAAGACAAAGAAACCTGCCATCTGCAACCAGTACCCAAGTGAGAATAATTGCCAAGTTACCAAAAACAGCTGTGTGTGTGAGAGAGAGAGAGAGTACCGTAGAAAATGAGGCTCCATAATAGGGAAAAGCTGTTGTTATAAATCTTTCATATTCGTTGTGCCTGAAGGGCCGGACTGGAATCTGTAGTCCAAAAATTTCATCTTTCTTCAGTAAAATGAAGAGGTGCATCTAGATATAGGAAAATAATTTCAACTGCCAAAACTAATTACAGAATCCCACACAAGCTAGCTGTAATAAGATAAGAAAAATAGTGCCAGTATGGTCGTTAAGTCTACTACCATATGATTCAACATCAAGTCCACAGTCCATCTCGCATGATGAATAATGCGGTTTAGCAATAACAGTGAAACAATGTGAACGTGATATTTTTCTTGCACCTTTTAACTACATAAAATGGCTGGTGTTAAGGTGGCCTACATACTACATAGACCACCAATGTTCTGTAAGTCTTCTTATTTTCTTCTATGCTTATATAAAGCATTAAAACAGCACTTTTCCCCAATCAACATATTTCAACAGGTGATAAACACGTTAAACCTATCATAGAAGTACTAAGTTCCATGCAAGAATGCACAACTAATAACAGCAAGATATGATCAACCCAAGCCTGGTTAACAAATGAACAATCTAGGTTTCAGGTTGTTCAGTTATTATAAAGGGGCAAATTGTTAGAGAGAAGTAAATACCTGCTTTGAAAGAGATAAGCTTGTGTAACCAAGCTTCTGGTATTCAACCTTGAATTGAAAAACTCCATAAACATCTGGGACCTTAAAAGATGTAAAGTACCGACCCTGCAGAAAAAGATGAACAGTGAGAGAGAGAGAGGGGGGGTTCATGAACAACACTACAACAGGGTGCAGGAGCAAATGCAAATAGTATTGGGGATCAAATATGTACTTTTTGGTCAGTCGACAAAGTTTTCAGCACATAGGGGCTCATCATGTAGAACTGCACTTGGACATCATCAGCCACATATGGTTGCCAACTCTTTCCAGACCACTCATAGATCTCAATAGAGTATTCCTTCAATCAAATAAAAGCAGTGAGCAATACAACAACCAACAAGACAGCTTATAGATGTTCATTTTCCTTTGTGTTTATGATTTGGCATCTAAATGAATGGGAGGCAGTTACCAAGTCATCATTGATCCTGTACATTGCAGGTTCATCCGTTTCCCCAACTTTGTGATGACGAACATTTACAGCCTATAATATAAAAAACCATAAGGATGACTTAATATGATACAGAAATGACTAGAAAAACAAATTAGCTACCCATACATGAAAATTTGAACTTAAGGCAACCTAGTGAATGTAATTGTCTGATCTATAGTCTTTTCTTTGGTGATTCTTATCAGCATCCAAAGAATTTGATAAGATCCAAAGGTCAAAATCAGAGAGTTAATAAGATAGTTGCTTGAAATGTCTCACCTTGAGATGACCTCTTTCATGGAAGACCCATTTGCTAAGTTCAGTCACAAACTGTTCATTACCAGATTTCTCGTGTCTGTTGTCACAAGATAGATACTCATGAGTTTCTTGTGCACAAGACAAGCATTACAAAGTGTCTAGGACTTTTTGTGCAATACCAAAATATGTACTATTTCTTAGAAGGAATAGGCATGTTAAGATCAGATTGGGGAACATTATAAAATCCGTTTTCTCTTTTACACCCCAAATAGCTTGAAGTGTTCAGTACATATTTTAAAACTTTAAGAATGTTAGAAACAGCTTCTCCGCAATAAGGATTGTCCTTGGATAGAAAGAAATTAGTAGTCAGAAAAGAAAAGAATCTATGAGATTTATTTTTTCTTTCACAAAGGAGAAGGAATAATATGGTGCAAAGTAGAATAGAAAACTATGTTGTATTCTTTCATTTCATACTTGATAATGAAGAGGTTTAATTGAAGTGTTCACAAAAAGGAAAAGAGGAAGAAAAATACAAACATGAGTGGTAACATAAAGCTCATGGAAAGTTTACAATGTGAGGACCTATGGCCCATATTATAGAAGCTCTTAACATCCGTTGGAAGGTACTCCACTCACAAAATAAGCGACCCTAGGAATATCCCCTCTGACACTTTAAAAAATGTCTTCTCCTCTAATAGAACCAAACCATGACCTCTAGCTAAGGTTTCGTTCTCTCTCAAAGGATCAAAACCACTAAATTCAGATTTAACTTCAATCTTCTATACAAATTTCCATTTTGACAAGAGTGCCATTGGGAATCCTTGCAGTGTCTGTAAAAAGTAGAAGAAAGCAACTCAATGAAATGTCAACATGTCAATTTCAGAGATGCTTTGCAACATGCCAACCTATAGACCATAGTTGCAGGTATACATTTCCTATGAGAAAGCTCCTGTTTACAAAATCAATCAAGAACAAAAAGTCAATTTCCCATAATGAGAAATGACAATTGCCTTAAGAGTCCCTATGTATATTAATTTAAGTTTTAATCCCCTACAACTGAAAGGCTACAGTTTAACATATCTCCCACATAAAAGGTAAATTGCAACCACTTTAAGTATGCATTTGCATCATTGCTTAACCATAGATGCCACCATGAATTCTGATTTCATATTTACTGGCCTAAAGTCAAATTTTTCTACCCCAAACAACAAACAGGACATAACATCATGAATTCCAACTGCAAACTTATGCCTATCTGCTATCCTCACTTTGCCAATATCATACAAACATTTCTCACTACCTACAAGGAAGGCCTTGATCCCAGTAAAACTCAACCCGATGAATCCCTGATTCCCTTCTCTAGCAAGTTTATCAGGTAAAATGTTTGCTCACCTTATAACACATGACAAGGTGTCCATCTGCTAAGGCTATCTGGACAAGGTGTTAATTTTAATGGTTGACATTTCAACTCCCTACTTGAAACAGCAGTACAACCATGGATATTCTCCCCTCCCAAGCATCCACCCATTAACTATATTATCTGCATCAGTTTCTACACTTTTCAAATTAAATATTAACGAATATCTCTTAGATGTTGCTAATTCCAAACATTTTGTATGTTCTTCAAATACAAAGTGTGCTCCAGAAATTAGGAAAATGCATCATTGATCAAAAAAAAAGAAATTAAGAAAATGCATCTTTTACAAATTAAGTCATCAATTGCCAAGATCTTATCCAAACAAGTCATATTCTCATTAATTATGTGATCGCTTGTCCCTTATTGGCAATTCTTCCTTCATCTCATCCATGGTGGCAGCTTGTATTGGGTTCTCCCCAATTCAGTTTCTGATTTAGCACATGTTTGGGAGTGCTTATATTTAATCACTTATTGGAATAAGCACTTATTAGAGGCCAGGTCCACACCAATAAGCACTTATTGGCACTTGATATATAAGCCCCAATCCAAATAAGTGTTTATTCATGGAAACAAGCCCATTTTGAATAAGCACCCACGAAGGTGTTTATTTTTAATCTCTTATTGCTTTCTGACCCGTCTTGGCCCTCCACGTAATTTTTAAAATACCTATGCTACCCCTGTCTGAAAGAAGCACTTTTTCACCAAACACTGGTACGTGCTTATTTGAATAAGCATTTACCCAATAATGAGTTATTTTAACAATAAGCACTCCCAAACATGGGCTTTCTCATCCAATGGCCTGCTCACAAGCTGGGATCTAGGGGAAATCTTTTGGAAATCTTATTAGACATGCTGTCATGTGGTTATGTGGTGTATTTACGAGTGCAGCAGAAGAATCTTTGAGATTAAGTCCGCCCCCCTGGAAGATCTTAGAGGGAAATTATATCTTGGTCTCAGATCTTTCTGTGGATGCTTTGGCAAACAGTTCAAAGGGATTTCCTATGGTGAGTTGGTGACTTGGACTGAAATCTTATTGAAGTACTGCACTTTTCCTATTTTGATCCCCAGTTCAGAGCTGTTCTTAATCCTTGGCCAGTTTCTGATTTTATCTTGAAGTTTGATGGCAGTTGCAGAAGTGTCTCTGGTTGCTTGGGGCCTACTGGTATTAGGGGCTTAATCCTCAAAGCTGATGTCACATGTCAGTAGGCCAGCTATACTGTATGGAGCAGAGTGCTGGGCAGTCAAGAAACATATCCAAAAGATGAGTGTTGCAGAAATGTTGGCTGAGATGGAAGAGTGGAAAAACTAGAAGCATATAATTAAAAATGAAGTTATCAAAGGAACCTAGTGGTAGCTCCAATAGATAATAAAATGAGGAAAAAGTAGACTAAGATGGTCTGGTAACATGCATACAAGGCCATCAACAGAACCCGTAAGAAGAAGTGCTTTGTTGCAAGTTGAAGGGGATATAAGGGCTAGAGGTAGACCAAAAAGGATATTAGTAGTAGTACGAAATGATTTAAGCGCCAATAATTTAACAATGGATATGGCATTAAATAGAATGGAATGGTGAAACAAAATGCCAACCTCGTATAGTTGGGATAAGGCCTTGGATGATGATAGTGGTGGTGGTGGTGGTGAATAATCCTCAAAGCTGATGTTGGTGTTGTTTGGGCTTTCAGTGGGCCATCCAGAGTGGTCGATGCCCCGGAAGCTGAAGTTAGAGCTCTTTTGGTTAGCTTGGGGATTGCCAAATCCATCCAGGTCAGCTCTCTTGTTCTTGAAGGGAACTCCAAGAATACTATAGGATGGGTTACCAATAAAGAGTCGGATCCTTAGAGATTTACTCACCTCCATCAGGGGGTGGATAGGGTTTTTTGTATAGTGAAAATTCTTTACCTTTTTAAATTTCTAGGTGGGTTACAGTTTTTCTTTCTTTTGGTTGTAACTTGTAAGTTGCTTAATCTCAAGAAAAAAAAAACATACAATCTCTGCATGAAGAAAGATGATTCGATGGGGATGTGAGTGCTTCAAATAAATCTGGCAGGAAAGGAACACCTCCCCCCAAAATAAATAAATAAGGGGAAAAAAAACTCATATAAAGCAGCCTCCTAAATTCTGGAACCCAAACAATCCTACCACCACCCTACAACCCCTTCTGTTAAGAGAACCTATTCTTAAACCTCTAAATGCCTCGTAGTATTAAGGAATGACACTGAAAATACCGCAAAACCCTCCAGAAAATTGAGCCAACAGGTTGGTTTTGCCCCAAGATAGAAGAATAGTTTTTATTTGAAGTAAAACACTACCTAGCAAGTTACCATCTATGCCAAGTAAACAAAACTCAATTACAAGTTTCAGATCTAATTCAACCCTACTTAAACTTTAGAATCGCAATATTATAAATTTATCTACATAGCAACATCAAGTAACTCCAAGTACTC